TTATTTTGTGGGTGTTGTATGTCGGCCTGTATGGACCATCTATGTGCTTACCCGTGTGAGTGTAATGAGGTTGATGGGAAAGTTTCCCCTGTCATTTTGTAGGAAGCTGTTTTTTATTTTTGTACTGATAAATATTTGTATCTCTAAATATTCAGAGTAGCTTTCACAGGAGGGAAACTTGTACAGGCAGTCCTGAAAAGGTTCCATACTGATTTAGTATTACTCTTTAGGTCAAGAATTGTACAGGTGTGTAATACAAGTTTGGGTGTTTCTAAAAATGGCCATTAACAAAAATAAATCATGTTCCTTTGTTGTTTGTGAACTGGCCAAGTAGTACATTAAAGCTAGGGGTGCACCGAATGGGAAATTGTTGGCTTAAACCGATACCGAAAATAGGAAACAGTTGGCCGAATGCCGAAAGGCCGAAAATGATTAATAGAAATATATATATATAGATAGATAGATAGATATCTATCTATCTATCTATCTATCTATCTATCTATATAATGTGTATATATATGTATGTATGTGTGTTTATATATATATATATATATACACATTATATATAGGACCATATGTGTCCCAGTTGTCGACGTATGGTAACACAAACTTAATTTTTACTATCCATTCCGAGGTTCGTGTACGTACGAGCTCCACTCGTACTTCGTGTTCCACTTATGTTCCGTAGTCGTTCCGCACTAACCAACCTAACCCCTTACGTACGGTCGTGCCTACTCGCGGTAAGTACTACAGGACGGACATGACGAACACGACGGCCTATCTGCTATACTCACTTGTTTGACCCGTCCCTAAGGGTCACACCCCTCTGGTTCGTTACGTTGTCGTTCCCGCAGTAGCCGTCGTCGGTAGGTCGTTAATGTTGTGTAGTGACTGGGTCCTGTGGGTGTACGGGGGTTGGAGCGAGACGAATATATTCGGTCCGTGTTGTCGTAGGTGTCTTATGTCGGTTTGACGCACGTAGCTTCCGCTACGGACTGTCAACAGAGAACTTTTTTTTTAGAGGAAAACGAATCGAATATGGTATATTCACACAAAAAAGTGTGTTCTTACTTACCCAAACAAAAAATCTTTCCTCACAAGGGTTAGCGTTAGAGACTCGCCTGGTTACAGTATCGGTTACGTCCCTCGGCCGACGTCCTGTTAAACACTTAGTCTCTCGGCTTTACCCCGAATACTTATTGGTCTAATTTTGTCTGGGTAAAGAGAGGAGCGAGGAAGGGTACCAGAAGAATACAAAGGAGTCAAGAGAGGAGTTGTGAGGGAGGGCCCCGGAAGGGAGTGGTGTGTGTGGTGTTGGTCGGATCGTCACAACGGTTCCCTCTACCCTTGCAGTATGAGGTTGACGACGGGTAAACACAACTCGCTCATCGTCCGCTTCTTACTTATAATTTTTATTATACCACCCTAACGGTCACACGTGTATGACTCTACCCTACGTCCTCTTGTTTCGTCCTTTGTTTTTTTATTTACTAGGGTTCACTACGAAACGACGACAAGTCTAAAGATTCTTAGTCATTTTAAGATTCATTACACTATGTTTGTTGTTACTCCTTAACCGTCAGTAAAGTTGGTCCAGTAATCTTTAGTATCGTCGTACACACACACTACCGACTGGGTACCTACAACCGTAGAGAGGACGGTTGGACGGGTAGTAGTACCTGGTACTCCAACGTCTGTACGTCTTCCCCTCGAACTAAGGTGTGTCCTAAGACCGCCCAATGCAGTATTCATTTTCCCCCAATAGTGTAGTACAACCAGAATAGTTTGGTGTAATGTACGACCGACCACCAATATCCGTCCTCGAAACTAGTTCGTTCAAACTATTGGCCGAAATTAATCCCTACGTTGGCTTATAAGCCGGGTGGGCTTTTATAGCGGGCTTTTACCACATTTTCCGTAGGTAAGCCGAAGAAGGTGGCTTAAAAATCTCTCTTGTCCAATGCAACTAGTATGGAGGCGTATTAAAAACAGCCCAACAAAACTAAAGTTCACCCACCTCTATTTCAGGCTTCACCACTTTCAGAAACGGTCAATGTGGGGAGCTCTTTACATCGGACTTGTGCAATATGTTTAGCGTTAGGCGCCGGGAGAGAGAGACCTATAAAACTTTATAGAGGTTCGCGTCTGGTACAACGACACTCGGTCGGCGCCTCGTACCAGCGCGCGGCACGGAACAGGCGGCGGCCAAACTAAATGCAGTTAGTGTTGGTTGTGCAATCCAATGGTTTGAATATCCACGTGAACAACAGCAAACTTCCGGACCGTGGTCATCCAATGTGCAGGAACATAAATGTGATAAAACCACATCCGGATGACCGGATCTACAATACGTCAAAATTTCGTGGAACCGAAACAGACTTACGTGAAACAACATCAATAGGATGTCTCTTTTCTTTTACGTAAACTGAAACCTTAATTACATGACATACGTAAGTTTTTCACGTATATATATATATATATATATTATATATATATATATATATATCTATATTCATATATATATATATTATGATATTTACAC